TTTGAATTTATTTTATTTTTCAACTGCTATTGTAAAAATATTTTAGGTGTATTGAATTAAAATTAGAAGTTTTTCTTCCTAACAAATAAATTTTTATCGATATTAATTTTAAGAAAACAAATAATGATCGAAAACTGCATATACCTATAAATAGTTCAACTTAAATCGATAGTTTTTGAAAATTACATGGTGGTTGGTGGATAGAATATACTTGTATAAACATCCGGTGAAAATTTCATGTATCTATGGTAATTTTTTTAAAGTGACATCAAAAACCAAAATTGATTTTGTCGAAAACTGATTGTGCGTAAAAATTCCCGTTTTTTCCTTAATTTTTAGTTGATTTATGCCGATTATTTAAAAAAATATTGAGAATTTTATCATATACATATAATAATATTATGTATAGATATGTCAATTACATTGTCAAGATTCCTCAAGTATTTTAATGATTGTATCTTTATTTACATGTCCAATATTCTTATAACAAAAAAAATTTAAAAAAAAATAATAATGACAAAATTAACCTCAATCTAATAGTCACGTAACTTTATTGTTTTTAATTTTCTCTTTGAAAAAGCATAACCGAGTAGGTAATTTTAATTTATTCGATATAATCAAGTCTATAAATACATAACATGTATAAACATATCAATTTTCCAAAGAACTACGTCGTCCAAACGGTGCCTGCTAAACACCAGAGACAAAATAAAAAAATAAAATAAAATAAAATTCAATGATTGAAGATCGGAAATAACCTTTCACTCTTCGATAAAATGTGAAAAATATTTGATAATATCATCTTTACTTTTATTTAAACTCTATTTAAAAAAAAAATAAACAGGTAATTGTATACTGTTTACATCCAAATTTAAGACAAACGTAAATTATTTTTTTCGAACTTCGTGACTATAGTTTTAGTTTAGATGATTAATTATATATGATAATAATTATTTTCCAACTATTTTTTTTAAGATAACACTTCACCCATTTTGTCTCTGTCTTACACACGCAAGTATAYGTAATGCTTATTTATAGTTGAAATTAGTGAAAATTTACATACCATTATTATCATTATCGAATTTGTAGAGAAGAATATAATAAACAAGGCCAGATGAGCTTTTTTCATATTTTTATTTAAAAATAAGGTTAAAGTATATAAATAGTTCATTTTTTTCAAATTCAAATAACTCGTTTTAAAATAAACGCCTCAGGCCCAGTTTGAAATATCCTCTAAAAATGCAATAATATGTAAATGGCCTCTAAAATTAGCAATGTAAAGATAAAATAATTAAAAATAGTAAGAATCTGGTACGTATAGGTTTGCTGTTGAGAGCATGCAACACAGAAACAACACGTCTTATGCGAGTGTAGCGTCCTCAAGTATACTAATATACAATTAAAACATTTTAATATGGATATGTTTTTGCTAGGAGAACTCATTATATTTTTTTGTGACTGATTTTTTTCAACTGATTTTTTTCTTGCCTAGCAACGAAAAATCATCGTGCCCTCTATTACGCATATGAGATCTCATTAGTAAGCAAGCAATTAAGTATGTAAGTAAAATAATCACATGACAGTGTACGCAATTTTCACTCGTCGACGAGTGCGCAACAATAATGGATAACAAATTACAAAATATAAAAAAACGAGCAAATATGAATTGTATTGTATTAAACAGAGACCATGCTGCAGCAGAAACTATTGTGGAATAATGATTCAATTTTTTTCCGCAAACAGAAAATATACATATATCAATTTTTTCTCCAAAAAAACGATTCCTTTAAGGCACTTAAGCATGTGAATGTGATTTATGTTAGATGAGTATTCATTTTTTTAAAGTTATAAGTTTAATATTATGTTAATTGATTTGTTATAATTATTTAACCCAGATAGGTATACTTAATAGTTTCTGAAAATTAGATAGGTAATATTAAAGATTTTTGATGTTTTAAAATCACCCTATCTAAAAATTCTTAACCATGTATAATACAATAATGTAGTATACACTATACTACGAGTATATATGTACCTATTATGTATTTGAGTTAGATGGATGATATAACCGTATATTAGGCGTATAAAGTACAATGGTTCTCGAACTTATTTTTAAGACGATGATCCTCAAAATATTTATGCAATTTGTTCGAGACCTCAAAAAATATTTTGCTTTTATACATTCGTAGGTTATTTTTGATAAAAATTAATTCAAACCTTGTGTTGACGACCAATGACCATCACCGAGTTAATGATCATTGGTACCTATAACAGACATTGTTTTTGGAACGTAGTTTTAAATAATAAGAAAAATAAGCCATAGCACACTAATCGATATTTTTCCTCCACAAGGAAAATCTATGAATCATAACATATTATGGTTTTGTTAACAAGTAACCGTGATAACGAAAATCTTACGAAAAATTGGTCAGAAACGAAAAAATCTTGTATCCAGCCCAAAAAAATATTTATGTTAATAATTATCGACTATTGTTTGCGCAGAATATAAAAGCAAATATAGTCAACATCCATAGGTATATGTATTATTATCATTTACCTGGAACGGTGTCTGCGGGAATCACGTCTGGCGTTTTCAAGTCGGCGTCTGGTTTCGGTTTGTTAATCTCCTTCCAGACGTCCGGCACAGAGCTGATCGATTGGCCGATAGTGACGGACATGTTTTGTGCCTATATACGCGATTGATAACAGATATCAGGTATCAAAACATAAACGTTGACGAGGTCGCATGCGGACTGCGCGCGATTTACCGGCGACCGGATAAACTTGACCTTACCATTTTCCGTTTGGAGCACATGAAAGCGTGACACTCCGACATGGTTTGGCCGCTGGCTGTGACGAAGGCGAACACATTGCCGTGAGCCGAGTCGGTAAAACAATGAGACACCCTGTGGCCGGCGAAAAAAAAAATAACAAAACTCAACATTGTGTTTGAGATCAAAAAATGCGTTTATGCACTGCGGGGAGGGAGGTGTGGGTCGTCAATGATTTATTTATCAACGTAGGTACCTAATATAACACGTCGTACCTATATAATACTATTATACATACAACTATATAATAACTATACCAGATATCTATCTGTTTTTATTTAGCTTTTCATCGTCCGTGGTTAATGAAATTAGATTCTTCAACCGTAAAAATATTATACTCGGCAGGTTTTTCGGTCTGCTGCGGTTTACACAAAAATAAATAATCAGCAAATGATGTATTATTATTACTATGTTTTACAGGCGCGTGCAGTTTAATTAATACCATAATAATTACCGAACTCGATATAGGTATAAGAATTTTAAGTATAGAACGAATGTCATTCTTTCTAGGGAATACACAAATTAAAACCCATGGACAAAATGTTATAGAATAAATATGATTTTCGTCGTGTTTGATAGGCATTGATAATACGCGTAACTTGTTCCAATTTGTCGATTACCCACAGCTATTTTTGTTTTGATGAAGAACAGATAGAAGAAACATCAGCACTTGCGTAATAAATATATACATTTTTTAAATTTAAATCGTAATCATAATAGACCTACTGGCCACTGTTAATTGTTATTATGTTGCAGCTTCTAGCAAATAGCAATAAGTAATAACAAAAATCCTATGATGAACTCATCCTTACCGACAGATTTAAAACGGGTTAAAAATGTGAATTTCGCACGATCAAAGCTAAACTAAACGTCTCTATACTGACAAGTGACAAGTGATAAGACTMGGCTTATATAGGATTCAAAATTACGTCCATGTCATACGATAGGTAAAATGTAAAGTATTAGATAATTAAAGTATTAAACATTCTAAGAGTGTATTATTATGACGATTACAATCACCTTTCTATTGGTGTTTCCAGAACTATCTTCTTTTCGTCACTAGTCTCTATCACTTTGATACCTTGTCCATTTAACGTAACCGTTACGTTCTGTGGTTTTCTTTTGCTGGCTTTAGCCTGGAATATACATAAAAAACAAACAAATAAATAGACATACTTTAATTTAGAAATAATTGAGGTTTGATTCAAAACGAAAAAAAAATAGAAAATAGGTCTCTGTAAGAATAAGTAACTGCGTGTGTTTTTTTGTAACGTCTTAAAACCATGTAAATTAAATATTTTCAAATATTCATTTTTCATTTTTAAAAAATTAATATATTTTATTCACTGTAATATTTGACACCATAAAATTGTTTTATGTTTTTGAATTTATACTTAGAAAAATAACTCTTTAACTTCCAAGCTCTAGTAATACAAAGGTACATCAATATTAATTAATTATAAAATAATAAAAATTACATGTTAATTCTTTTTTGGCTGTAATTATGCAATTAATCAAACTCTGATTTTTGGAATTTTAAATGTTAAAAAAAAGCTTAAGTATTTAGAAATATGTTTTTGAATTTATACTTAGAAAAATAACTCTTTAACTTCCAAGCTCTAGTAATACAAAGGTACATCAATATTAATTAATTATAAAATAATAAAAATTACATGTTAATTCTTTTTTGGCTGTAATTATGCAATTAATCAAACTCTGATTTTTGGAATTTTAAATGTTCTTAAATACCATATTTCTAAATACTTAAGCTTTTTTTTAACATTTTAAGGAGTGCACTGCGTAGGTACTTTTAGTATAAATAATTTTTTTGGGAATTTCTTCGATTACAATCAATTATTAAAAATTATATTATAACGTAAAAATACGTATATAATATATTCTTAAGATTTAGTTATTTTATGAAATTTTTATAATAATCTTGAATAAAATTTAAATAAGTAGTTACAAACAACTTTTAAAATTATTTAAAATCGAAACTAATGAATTAGAAAGATAATACTGGCATGAAAATCTTATCGATACAGCTAAATTTTTAAATCATAGACAACGTGTACAACATAATAAAAAAGGCAAGTTGTGGATGTCGCTCTGCTGTACAGTAGGTTACAAGTGGGTTACTGTAATGGATGGAATTGAATTTGAATCCAATGATATTATATTATTGTATACGAAAAACGATTCTGAGCGGA